CTGCACCTGCTTGGGAGCTCATGTTGTCTGCAAGAAAACTCAAAGCTTGTTTCAACTGGGCTTTGTTTTTAAAGACACTGAACACTGTTCTTTTATTCATGATGCCCTAATGCCGGGGCCTTCCTGGATTTACAGGAGATGAGATTCTTCCAACCTGAAGAACTCTATAATTATTTCTACCAGAGCTACAGTCTTCCTGGCCGATGGTGGGAAAGAAGCAACAGCCAACTTGAAAATGCACACCTGCCACTCTTGGCAGGAACCTGGCTATGTTGCAAGCCCACCACATACAAGGCGCTCCAGGAGGCAGGAACCAAGGGCTAGGACTTGCACTAGCTGTTTTGGTTAAGCCCTGCTGAAAAGCAACATGGAGTCATGGAGAAAACTGGAGCAGATGTCAGAAATTTGAGGTTTCTTGTCCCCTGTCCACTAGTAATTTATTTAGTTGACTCTAAGAAAGTTATCTAAACTTTATGGAGCTTACCCCACTCGTAAAACTAGAGTAATAACACCTGCCCTACTTACCTCCAAGAGTTACAGAAACACTCAAAGGAGCTGAATTATGTACCTGGAAGCAACTTCACATGTAAGGGATGCTCCTTGCAAAAAAGCCTTACCCTGCTCAGCCCTGGCCTAATTACATTGCCTTTAAGCCCGAGGCAGGGGCTTTGCTGGCTGACCTCTCAAGCCCTCCCTTCCCCTCACCCCCAGTGCAGCATGCTGTCCTGGGAGCACAGAATGTCCTCCGGTCTAGAGGAAACTAGGCCTTTGTTTGCAGTAGGTCCAGGCAGACCGAGTCCAGGACAAGACCACACGGGAAGTCTTCTTGGGATGTGCAGAACAGGCCTGCTTGCTGCCTCGGTGCTGCCTGGCCACTCTAGTCTCTGTGTCAAACAGCAAATTTCTGAATCACATACAAAGTGGTGGATGGGGCAGCACAACTTCCCCACGACATTAATAGGGACCAGTGAGGACACAGCTACTGTGCTTAGTACGTGTCTTTAAGGCCTATGTGATGTCAGCAGGGAAGCAAATGTTGCCTGAACCTGATCCCTCCAGCTAAATCCGGGAGTGCCCGTCAGTCCCTCGGGGAGAGCTGCTCTAAAGGGCGAGCATGGTGCCCAGGGGTCGGGAAAACTAACCGTGCTGGTACAGGACTCAAGGTTTACTATCGTACAGATACCAGGGATGATGCTCAAGGCTGTAACACTGGTAAAAATCTCCATTGTGATTGTCCCTGTGGGCCCAGCCCAGGCCTTGGGGAGCCATGCTAGGGGAGGGGTACGGAGCCCTTCCACACAGTCACAAAGACGAGCTCTTACCATCCAGATGGAAACAATGAAGCAAAGTAACTCACCGGGAGAGAGACATGTTGTCTGGGGGAGAGGCTTGAGGGAGAGTCTAAACGGTTCCCGGAATAAATTCCCACGTAAATCCAAAAAATGCTAATGGAGAGAAGTCGCTGCCCATTCTCTCTTTTATGCCAAATAATATCCTCCTCCTGCCGGAACAGAGTTGTCCTTGGCACTTGGAAGTAAACGTGAGGAGGGAATCAAAACAGGACGCCT